GGAGGAAAAGAAACACACAGACACAATTAATCGTCCACTCCCAGGAGAATATGGGAAAATATGGGAAGTGGGGGGGAAGACAGAAACCCAGAAGACATAAGAAAGTATGGGGAGTCTTTTTATTTGTGTGTATCTATTCGTGTGTCCCAGGGCCCCTTCATATCTGTGTGCCCCAGGGCCCCCTCCGCCGACGCCGACCCTGGCCGGGCCGAAGCCCCGCGCCCCGCCTCGGTGCCGCGTGCCCTCCTCCAGGAGGGGAGGAAACACTCTCACACACAGACACAGTTCCTCGTCGAGCCCCCAAACATGTGGGAAATGATGGGAAGGGGGGGGGGGACGAAAGCCCAGAAAGTATGGGAGCACATAGGAAGTACTGTTATTTGTGTGCATTTACTAGTGTGTCCCAGGGCCCCTTCACAGTCATGCACCGATGCGAGGCCCACGGGCGGCCGGTGTCGGCCCATGGCCGGTGGCCAGCGTGCTGGTCCCCGGGCATCCGACGGCGTGCTATATTTCAGTCGTGGAAGCGGAGGGCTCGAGTAAGCTTGCGGACGACGATCAGTTGAGAGGAACTTTGTGGGCCGCGGAAACGGCAGGGCCGTTTTTTCACCGTTTCTAAAAAGATTTCCTTTGAAAATGGAAACGGCAAAAAAACGGCGACCCGAAACGGCAACAAAAACGGCTCCAGGATTGGAACTGGAGCCGGAATGGGTCAAACAACGGCGACAGAACCGGTAAAACAACGGCATCGGAATCGGCAAAAAAACGGCAAAACGGAAGCGGTAAAAAAACGGCCTTGTCGTTTCCAGGTCCCAGTAAGGAGAGGAAGCGTGTTGCGGAACACTTTCCAGATGTTCAGAAATGTCTCAAACATGTCTTCAAACTGTCTGAATGATGTGAGGCACATTCTTCAGACATTTTCAGAACAGTTCCCGACATTTCCAACACGTGTTCAACTCAATGATCGGATTGTTAGGGCGTCCATTGTCATGGCATCCACAAGACTAAGCCGGAACTCGGGTCTGCTGACCTTTTGACGGGCGCGTCCTGTATGTTTGACGGTCCAGGTTTCGTCGCATATTTGCAGCGGGCGCCCGCCCCAGATTTCAAGTTGGGCCTCGTCCTTTATAATGTGGCCCCGTCCGGCCAGCCCGAGTCCCCCGTGCCCGAGTCTTACGCCTCCCCGATTCAGTGCGCCCCCAAGAAACAGAGAAGGACATAAGCGTACACTTGTCGCGCTCCGCGCGGCGCGGATTTCTTGGATCGGCGCTTGGGAGCCCCTGGCGGCGCCCCCGGCGCAATTTCCCCCAGTCTAACATCACTGCCCCCAGGTCCAACGTCATCGTCCCCAAGTGTCCAGAATCATTGTCCCCCCAGGTCCAAAATCATTGCCCCCAAGCCCAAAATCATTGTCCCCATGTCCAAACATCCTGATCATGGTCCGCAGGGGGGGTTTTGCATTTTGGGGCAATCATTTCGCATGCGAAATCTGCCCCCTCCGCTTCCGCCTCCACCTCAGCCTCCGATTCCGCATCCGCCTCCCCCTCCTCTACATCCGCCTCCGCCTTGCCTTCGCATCCGCATCCGCCCTCCCTCCTTCTCCGCCTCAGCCTCCGCCTCCGCCCTCGCCCCCCCCTCCGCCTCCGCTCCCGCCCCCGTTCTCCGTGTCCAGAATCATTGTCGCCAGGTCCACAGTCATCGTCCCCAGGTCCAAAATCATGGTCCCCAAGTCCAAAATCATTGTCCCCATGTCCAGAATCATTGCCACCAGGCCCCGGATCATGGTCCCCAGGGGTGGTTTTGGATTTGCTCGGGGGGAGCGGGGGGGGGGGCGCTAGGCCAGGCCAGGCTAAGCGCAGGTTGGCCTGATATTCGGACGAAGCTGTGCTAGGCTGGGCGCGTGTTAGATTAGGTGCAGGCCTGGCTGGGCGCAAGCGAGGTTCCGTATAAAGACGGATACACCTCTCGAAGGTTCCGCATCGGGATGGGTGCACCTCTGACGGGATCCCCATATGCGTGAATGCAATTTTGACAGGATCTCGAATCATCGTCCCCAGTGTCCAGAATCATTTTCCCCAGGTCCAAAATCATGATCCCCATGTCCAAAATCATTGTCCCCAAGCCCAAAATCATTGTCCCCATGTCCGGAATCATTGTCCCCAGGCCCCGAATCATGGTCCCCAGGGGTGGTCTTGGACTTGGAGGCGTTTTGCATGCGAAGTCGTTCCCCTCCGCTTTCGCCTCCACTTCCGCCTCCGATTCCGCATCCGCCTCTCCATCCTCCTACATCCGCCTCCACCTTCGCCTTCGCCCCCGCCTCGGCCCCCCTCCTCCGCCTCCGCCTCCGCCCCCGCTTCCACCTCATCTCGCCCCTCCTCCGCCTCCGCTCCCGCCCCCGATCTGCGTCAGTAAACGGTGGCAGGCATACGCGCGTCGATGCGCCAATACAGATGCATTCCGGACACACCAGCGTGGGACACCGATTTGCGTCAGTACGCCGTCCCAGGCACGACAAGTCAGGCGCGCCACTCTGGGACACCGACTTGCGTCAACAAACTGTGGCCGACACACGAACGTCAAAACGCCAACACAGACGCACCAAACTGGGACACCGATTAACGTCAGTAAGCCGTCGCAGACACGCTGGCGTCGATAAGCCATTCCAGACGCGCCGACGTGGGACACCGATTTGCGTCAGTACGCCGTCACAGGCACGACAAGTCAGACGCGCCTAACTGGGACACCGATTTGCGTCAGTGAACCGTGGCAAAGTCACGAACGTCAAAACACCAAAACAGACGCACCAAGCTGGGACACCGATTTGCGTCAGTAAACCGTCGCAGACACGCTGACGTCGACACACCACTTCAGGCGTGCCACTTTGGGGCGCTTATTTGCGTCAGGGAACCGTCGCATGCACGACGAGTCCGACACACTTAACTGGGACGCCGATTTGCGTTAGTAAACCGTGGCAGACACGCGCACGTCAATACACCAACGCAGACGTACCAAATTGGAGCACCATAGCCTACCTGGCAGTTTTAGCCCACCTGGCCGCGCTACACTTACATTCATCATTTCCGTAGGCATTTCGGCTCGGGTGACCGAGCCAGCGTGCCGCATGGCTCTTGCCCGCCTGCGAGGCGATGTGGCCGTGCGTCTTGGCCGCCGCTGGCGCTGCCCTCTGGCTGTGCTGCGGTGGTGGCGAGCCCGATGGACGGTGGGCATGGATGGCGCTGGAGCGGACGCTGGTGGCTGTGGCTCGAGGAGCTGCCCTGGGCGCACTTCGCCGAGGGGGACACGCTCTGGTCGGTGGCTGACCAGAGCGGTACCGTGGGCATAAATCAAAGAAGGGCGTGAACGTACATATGTCGCGCTCCGCGCGGGTTTCTTGGATGGGCGCCCGGGGCCCCCCGGCGGCGCCCCTCGGGCCGGGCGAAGGCCGCGCCGTCGGAAATCTGGGAGTCGGGGGCCCGCGCGCGGCGCGGTGGCCGCGCCGTGCGGTGAGTCGGCGGTGGGATCCGGGGCCGCCGCGCGTCTCTGGGGCCGACTCGGGTCGCGCTTCAAGGATGTCTCGGGCGATGAGAGCCGCCGAGGTCCCAGAACCGTGCGATGGTCGAAGAAGACAAACGGCGCGAACGTGAACCTGTGGAGCTCGGCGTGGATTTCTTGGATCGGCTATGGGACCCCCGGCGGCGCCGCCGGCGCCGCCCCTGGCGCGCGGGGCGCGCCGGGGAGGGGGCCCAGCGCGGGCCCGAGAAATCCGCGCGGGGCGTCGAAAGTTAGGCGCCGCGCCATGCGCTGAGGTCCTTGGGGGCGTCGAGGTGACAGCGCGCTCCGTTGCCGCGCCGTTTCGGCCCCCCCAGGGGATGCTCGCCGATTGCCCTTGCAAGCGCCCTGGTAGCAGCGAGGGGGGCCGAGGCGCGGCCACGCGCGCCTGGGCGCGCATTTGCGCCAGGGATCGCTGCCGCCCGGGCCCAAAAATTTCGCCTGCGCCGAGGCGAGACCGCTGCAGAGGAGACCCGTGCCAAGAAACACCCTGCTTCCCTCCAGGGTGCCTTGGGTTTCTTGGGCTTCGATAGTTTTTCCGTGGCAAGCGTGGCGTTCCCGCTCCAATAATCAATCGACGTCTTGGAGTTTCAGGGTTGGGTTTCTCGTGGGAGTTTTTTTGTGTTATATATAAACTAATTCAATAAACAAAAAATTGAAAATGGCCTCCGCTGTAGCTGGTGGCATCGAGGCGAGAGCGCCGTCCCTGAATAAGTCGTGGGGGGCCCCCCAGCGAGACAGTTGCCGGGCGGGGCGCTCTCGCGCTCCCCGTTCCTCTTCTGCGGGGCTCTTCTGCTGTCCTGTCCTGATCTCTCTGAGAATCCATTGGCGAAGTGCTTCTTCGCGGACGGACGACGGTGTCGCGTCAACTTTTCCACCGTCGGGGGCGCCTGTCCTAGGGCGGCTGGAAAGCTCATGCCCGCGCGGTGGCGCGTCGGGGCATGCGTTCTCCAGCCGCCCTGGGGCAGGCGTCCCCGGCGGCGGAACCCTTTGTCATATGTGCCGTTTTTCGTCCTTGAAATTTTTGCGTTGCATCTTCGGGGGGGCTCGCCCGTCCCCAAACTTGGTGTCGTTTCTTGGCCTCGACGCGGCCCCCATGCTCACTCGGCGCGGATTTGGCGCGGGTTCGACTCGGCTTCGACATGGATTCGGCACGGCTCCGACGAGTTCGGCGTGGAATCGGCACGGATTTGACGCGGATAGGGCCGTGCAGGGACAGGCAAGGTTCACCGGGGATGCAACGTGCGCGCCGATCCCCAATCGGCCATTCATTACCGACAGGGCCCCGATAACCCTAACCTGGCCAGGAACGTGCGGACTTGTCATCGGGCGCGTAGTCTCCGATGTATCGGCGATGTATCGCCGACTCCAGGTCGATGTTCCCCCCCATCCAGTGCCAGCCCCTCCTTCCGTTCCCCCGACGTGCAGTTCGGGAGCCGCGGCGCTCAGAGATCTGGCGGTCCACAAGACGGAGGCGCTCGGCGCGGGCCTGCTGTGGGGCCTCCGGGCCCTCGCGGCCGGGGCTGGCGCGGCGGCGGGCGCGGCCGCGCTGGTGCTGCCCTGTCGTGCGCTGGACGGGCTGCGCAAGGGCGGGCGCGAGGCCGAGGGCGAGGATCGGGGGACCCAGAGGAGGTGGAGTTCCTCAGAAGAGAACTGGCATCTTCAGGCGATCGCAGACCTGGATCAAAGGGGGCGTGGATTAGCGACGGGTCCCGTTTCGATGGGAACATGGGACATCGTGTATTTCCCGCCGCCGAGCGAGGCGACACGGGCCGCATTTTGGCAACCGCGCGCCAAATCCATGGATCGCGGATCCACGTTTGTGCGCCCCTGGCACATCCCCCCGAAGATTTGGCAAGCGTTTGGGGGGTGATGTTTTGATGTTGCTCAGAGTTCAGAGTTCAGTGTTTTTGTTCGCCCCTCGGCAAAAAGGGGGATCAGGAGGGACGTACACGCGCATGCGCGTACATGCGTTCGCATGGGTTTCGGGAGCGCGCATTGCGCGAGCGTGCGTGTTACGATGGCGGCTTCGCGATTTGGGAGGCACGTTCCTGCACGCGGCTGGGCGCGCATGTCTTTTTTTCTTCGCGGGCCAGGCACCGTCGATCTTCGACCTGGGGCTGGTACGGTGCAAACATAGTGGCGGCAAGCGAGGGGGGGGAAGTGAAAAGGAAAATGCGTTCTCAGCAGGGTTCGGAATTCCCGGGGCCCCATGAAAAGTTTTCTACGCCTTCGCCGAACACAGACAACAACTTCTCACAAGGCGCGAGGGCTTCTGAGAAGTCCCGCCGCCTTCTGAGAAGGCCTTCTCTTTTTCATTTCCCCCCCATCGATCGCCGCGGGACATACCCTTTCGGCCCTCGGGGCCAGACGCCTGTGCCAACGCACTGCGCTGGAACGGGGCCCGCAGGGAGTCCTGCCATGGCGCAGTTCTTGTACTCAGGGCTCCCCAGATATTCTCATTGATAATACAAACATCGGCGAAGCCAAACCTACCTTCAAGCAGCGGCGAAGCGTCATGGCTTGCTTATAGGCCCACCAAAGAATATTAGAATAACTTGGTATGGTTCGCACGAAGTGTTTGTTTTACAGCACCTCTGGATGATATTGCTTTTGTGTTTGTTACATACATCGGGCTCATGTCCGAAGAATTTGTTTGGTTATTCGAACATGTTTTGATTCTGAGACCATGTCGTGGTAGGCCTATAGGAATGTCGGAAAGGTCGGTCCCTGTTCAATACCCCTTAATTACACGATCAAGACGTAGCCTCACTTCGGTCCCGGTCTTCGCATCAGGGATCACACATCTGGGCGGTTTGGTTTGATACGTCTGCAGCGGCGACTCCCTGTCCCTGATGTTGGTGGCCCTCCTAGCTTAGGTCCCCTCCCCAAGGGTTCGGCTTTTTTTTTGGGTCCACCAGAGGAGGCGGCGGAGGACGAGGGGTCGGAGGAGGAGCGGTCCGACAGCCAGCACCCGCTGGACGTCCTCGGGAGCCGGCTGCAGGGACGGTGAGCGCTCTGTGACGCAAGGGAAAAAAACGGCGCCGTGTTTCGTGGCCGAGCCCGCTGAGCCTCCCCCTTCTGCCCCCCCCCTCGTTCTCCTCCTCCTCCTCCTCCTCCTCCTCCTCATCCCCCTCCTCCCACCCCTCCTCCTCCTCCTCCTCCTCCTCCTCCTCCTCCTCCTCCCTCTCCTCCTCCTGCTGCTCCTCCTCCTCCTCCTCCTCCTCCTCCTCCTCCTCCTCCTCCTCCTCCCCCTCGGGCCAGACGGAGCCGAAGCGGAGGGTGGGGAGAGTCAACAGCAGCGGGATGCAAGTACAACGACGAACGAATAGTATCTCTGTCCTTACCACGAGTTGAAATAGAAGAAGGACGGTAAGGAGGTGCAATTGGAGATACATTAGGTGCCGTACTAGAGCTTGGCACCGGATCTGAGTGGTAGTTGTAATACCGCGACTTGTGTTTGGGCTGCGTCAGGTGCTGCCGTATACGCTGTTGTCGGAGTTTTACGGTACAGAGTGATCTGTAGCAAGTGCTGTAGTGTCAGGGGTTATTTGGGAGTTTTTTCAGGGGCTGTAGGCTGTGATTTGAGCTGACTGAGATCTGCAATCGGAAACGTAGGAGGACATCTGGTAATAAGATTTGCAGCTGGAGCGGATTCGGACATGTTATATCAGGAGCTGTACCTGGAGATGCATATCGTTGAGTTTGTGTACGTGATGTTTCAAACGATATTTGCACATTGTGGAACCCCAAACGATCGCCAACAAGAGTCGGGAACTCTGATTTTAATAGTCCCTCCCCATGTCTTGGTACATGGTATCTTGCATTAGGCCAGGCCAGATCTGACTTATCTTCGCATCCACTTGAAAGCCCTTATCCCCTTGGCTACCCCGCGGTCATCAAGTTCGCCGAAAACGTTTTTTGCCCAACAAATTCGATTACCCCCAAAACACGTGCCCGAAATTTTGACCAAACACATACTCCGGGTTTCTTAATGAGCGTGTGGGGGTACCCCCCGACGCGGGTTAACCTCGCCTCGTCGTCGCGCCGCGACGAGGGGTCGGAGCGCCCTCCGCGCGCGGTGGCTGCCCGCGACGGGGGTCGAGATGTGGCTGTCGGCGGGGGTGACGCCCCCCCCCGACGCTTATTAAGAAATTCGGAGTGATGTTACCGACCTCGTAACCGAAATCGAAAGTCGCGTCAGTCTTGGATTCAGAACGTCGGTGACGCGCGGGCGCGCTCGGAAAACTCTGGCGCCGGTTTCGGTCACGCTCGGGCAGAGCCTTGCGCACACGTTTCGGTCACTGCGCACCCCCTGATGGGGACGAGGCTTCGATAGCAAATCCTGGGGGCCTGGTGTAGTCTCATAGTTTTATCTTCAGAGTGCACTAGCGTCGAGTAGCGTCTGGTAGTCGATGAGATAGTGCCGATTTAGCGTCGACGAGCGTCTAGGAGCGTCGCTTAGCGTCGATTTAGCGTCGATTGGCGTCGATCTAGCGTCGGTTAGCGTCGATGAGCGTCGATTCGCAAGAGCCAGCGAGAAGGTATGGGAGGCTCCCGTGAGTTGCCACTGAGGATTTCCGGGCACAGTTTCGGTCACTACCCCCCCTGATAGAGACGAGGCTGCGTGACGCGACGGCCCGCTTTACGGGGTGCCAGCCCCCTTGGAACCGTGCCCCGGTCCTGGGGCCGCAAAAAAGCGACTCGGGCTGAACATGTGGCTCCGTGTTAGATGCTCGTTTTCGGGACCTTTCTGGGGTCCACCTAACGGGTCTGTTCGACTCCAGTTCGACTCCAGCTGGACTCCAGTTCGATTCCAGCTCGACTCCAGTTCGACTCAGGTTCGACTCGGGTTCGATTCAGATTCGACTCAAGTTCGACTCCAGTCGACGGACGCTCGACGCAGCTTCGACGCACGAGTGGAGCGGGTGGCTGCAGGACTGTCCCCGGAGGGAGCATCGGACCCACAGGTGGTCAGCGCCCTGGGTGCCCGTGCCGCGAAACGCCTGCAGCGTCGGAGGAGGGGGCCCAGATCGACGGCTGCTTCTGTCCTCGAGGTCCGGGCCACTGCCCGGCCTGTCTGCTCCCTCCTTCCCCCTCCTTCGGGGGCGGAAAAGAGGGGGGTGATGACTAGGGGGGGTGGATATCATGGCGTGGGCCATGATATCTCCCCAGATTTCGTGGCGCCTCTTCTTGTTTCATTACGTCCCTGGCCCCCCCGCTGGGCCGCGCACATGCCGCCGGTCATGATTTGCACCCCCCCCTCTTGGACACCCCCCTCTTGGCCGCTCCCGACTCCTGCGCCTCCGCCTCTTCCTGGTCGTCGTCCTCTTTCCTCCCCGCTCCGGCCGCGCCTCGCGATTTTCCTGGCAGCGCGAGTTGGTTCGCAGTGCCAGCTGTCGTGCGAGACGTGCATGGCTTGTCGGTCGGTCCTCGATCTTCGGCGACGGCGAGGGCGGCGTCAGCCTGCGATGACGAGGTCGACGAGGGGACGACGGAACGACGTCGGCGGCGCCGACGGAAGCGTTCTAGCCGAGATCCCTTACCTTCAGTGTCCATTCTTGAGCGCCTTGGGCTCCGACGTTGAAATCCGCTTCTCCAGCATGTGGACCGCATTGGGCCCTTCTTGCTCCTCCTCGTTCCTCATGTTCCTCCTTTCCCTCCTCGTTCTTCTCGTCTCCCTTGTGAAGGGGCGAAACGGTCGAAATCTGGTCACACCCATGTTCCAAATCCGGTCCAAAGCAGGCCCAAATCGGACAGCGCCGGGGGCCATGTAGGCTCCCATGGAACAGACACCAAGGATTGTGATGGCCTTGCGGCCGGTGCCGCACCCTGTATGCGGGGAGGGCGGGAAAGATTAAACAGGTGGATGAGGAGGAGGGGAGGGGGCGGCCTTGTTTGCTAGTCTTGGAGGCCCCTTTGAACACTCTGGACTCATTTGTGGCTATGTGAGCCCCGGGACGCCCCGGTGGGATAGTATTTGACCCGGTATCCCCCTCGACACCATCTGTCGACACCCTCCCTCGCCCCCCCCCGCGGGGAGGGGGTCAAAGGAACGGGGCTTCCCTTCGAATGAACTTTCGACGTTGAACTACGATGTTGCTTAATTTCGCTGTGGCTCGCGCGCCTGAGGAGGCAGACCCGTTTTGAGGTCTTTGCTTCCTCAATATCGCTTGGGCTTACCCGCCTGAAGAGATGGGCCCAGGGAAAAGAGGGGGGACCGGTGACTGCGTCTCTCATCCCCCGACAGGGTCGGCGGATTTGATGTCTTCTCCATGCGCGGTCCCCGGAATATTTTTTCGGAGACCGCGCCTTGTCCGTTTGTTTGGGCTGCGCCGTATGCGAATTTCGCATCGATCGCCAATCAGGCCGTTTTGTGTATGAAACGCAGCATGTTCTAAGACTAGTCCATTTATATACAAAGAACATGTTTGGTTCTAGGAGCATGTCTAGGTGTGCTATACGTCAGCTGGGACGGTCTGTCCTCACTCAAAAGAAGTCCCGACCCCTTCCCCGTGGCTGGTTTTTCATCTCTGGTCTTAACTTGGGCACGTTCCTCTACAGGAGGAAAATCGAGAAGCAGTCAAACATTAGCCTGGGGACTTTATGTAATGTACATATATACACATATATATGTATGTATTAATATGTATGTATATATATATATATATGTATGTCGTCAGAATCCGCCTGTAGGGGGACATGCCCGGCCCAACTCTGGTCGTCCCTTGACGGTCCCGGGGCCCGGCGGAGGCCCCGGGAGGCCGAACATCGGCGTCACCCCAGCATGCCACCTTTACTGTGTGCGTCGCCCCCCTTCCAAGGGCGACGCGCGCACCGAGAAGTCTTCTAGTATAGCGCAGGCCTAGAGGTTGACACCAACACCAATATCGGCGGTGTGCCTCCACCGAGGGAAGAAGATCCCGATCTCGGCGATGGTGGTAATACTCTGGCTTCCAAGGTGACCGAAATATTGCCACCAACACCGAAATCTAGGATCATCTTCCCCATTTGGAGGCAACCCCATGTGTTGGTGTTGGTGCCCATTTCTTTTAGGCCTCCAAGTAATTATATAGTATGTGCGTCGTGGCGGGCGCTTTCTGGCCACACCGCTCGGGACACGATCTACTAGAAGACGGGCATACTGTACGTTCGGGTCGGACGCGCGCGCCTCCAAGGAGGATATCTCGTACCAGTATGTGTCTGTGCGTCCCAGATAACGGCGCAAGACCTCCGTCTTGAGTTCTCCCATGCCTTGGAGGTCTGGGTTTTATTCGGAGACAGCCCTGGACGGCGACGGCGGAATGGCTTCGGCTTCGTGACTGGGGAAGCCAATTCCTGACCAGCACTGTTAGGCGAGTCCAGCCCTGATGACGAGGTACCTCCCAGGACGCCCACCGAGGCGAAGACGAGGGAAGGTCAGCGGTACGTCGGTACCCTTCCCTCGTCCGAGTGACGTTGGCGGTCTGGAAGCGACGAGGACGACGACGAGGACGACGACGACGACGACGACGACGACGACGACGAGGACGACGACGACGACGACGACGACGACGACGACGACGACGACGACGACGACGACGACGACGACGACGACGACGACGACGACGCCTCGCGGCGGCGGCGGCGCGCCGCCCCCGCGCCGCGCGCGCAGGCGCCGCCCGGGAGCGCCGGGAGCCGGAGCGCGGCGCCCTGCCGGCGGCGGTGCCCCCCGCGGCACCCGCGGCTCAGTGGGCCGAGCCGTGGCGGGGAGGGGCGCCTTGTCAAGCTGACCATCTCGAGGGATGTGGGAGGGAGGGAGGG